CCCCAAAACCCCAAAACCCCAAAACCCCAAAACCCCATTTGGGATATCTCTAATTGAAAATATTAGAAATTTACTGAAATAAATCCAATCAGCTTACTCTTCATGCCGATTGTGTTTAATATACTCACTAATAGATTGATCTAGAGGTTAGGAAAAGAGAGTACCAACTTCGAGGAAATTATCATCATCCTTCATTTTCCACCCAGTGATTGCCATCTTTTGGGTAGCTGGGTCCTTCTCCTTCTTCAATGATGGAATCCTACAGGTGTTGGTTAGAACTATCAACATATTCTAGGCAATCTTTCGGCTTCTAGCTTACTTTCTTGGTGCATCAACTTTGAGTTTCAACCGTGGTTTGCTACAAATTAGAAGAGATGAATTTACTATAGCATTCTGTATTCTTTCTTCTGATTATATATACATTTAGAATAACCATTCAGAAAATTTGTAGCTTAAAAATATCAACTCTTTTGAATAATTTAGAGTGGAACAGACACCAAGATTAGGGAAATGTAGTTGTAAGACCTATTTACCGAGATTTTTGGCCGAGGCTTCTCTCTGTGTCTGGCTTGACTCATAATTCTGGAGATTTTGCTCTTCTCGATATCACATTTGCAGTTGTAACATAGATGCCGTCTTTCTTTGCTATTGTGTCTTTGATCAAAGTTGAAATTTTCATTTTCGAGTTTTGAAGCACTAGATTTTTAGAGTTTGACATACCTTTGGGCTACCTTCATGTTGAAACCAACCAGAAAGTTTGATTCTAGACAACGTTTAGTAAAATACAGTGCATAAATTCAAATAATTTCCAACACTATGATTAAAGAATATACTTTTTAAGCTATTTACCACTTCTAGCATATCCCAAAATCTTGTCATCAATAAGTAACATCAGTGCCAAAAGCTGATCATACTTACTCGACTGTTCTGAAGAAAGAGGCCTGAACGAATCATACACTTTAAGACTCGGCAAAGAAGCCTGTGTATTTTGTAACTTCTGAGTATTTTTACTGATAGTTTCTCCTTTCTACAAAGCATTTTAGCAAGCATGGACTTTCTTACAGACAAGAATCTTTAAGGCGAGATAAGGTTCCGATGACTAAGAGATTTTATATGAATTTACTGGAATTAATCTTTCATAAAATATCAAACCAAATTGTGTACAGAAGATATATACCATTAAGAAAGAACTAAATTTCTCCTTAGAATTCTGTGAAGCTACAAAGGAACTCAGATTCTTGGTCGTCCTATTCGGACCTTTGGTGGACCCCAAAGTATCTTTCTTCAATAAAACTGACTGCTTTGAAGATCCAATTTGCTTTTTCTCTTCGGAAGTTTTATTTCTTTTTTAGTATAATGATCTTCTGTGTGGTTTCAGGTCTTATCTCTATCTTTCTGGAAAATTTCTATGACCAAGAATTACTTAGATATCTAAGAAAGCTTAAAAACTGCAAGTTCTTAATCTGGTAGGGAGATAAACCCCTAAAATGGCATCAGAAATTCAATTGAGCCACTTAGATGCCTACCTTCTCAGAGAATATCTTCTGTGGGGTGTACAAGCCCAGTTTAGATTTCATAAATTTAGGTTTGCTTCTTCCTCTAAATTTCCTTTTCTTCCTAAAACGAGAGATTAGGTCCTCTAGTATGGTAGATTTAGAAGTGCAAATTTAGACTCTAATGCAACATGAAGTAAGGATGGAGTCCGATAATTTACTTTCTGAAGAAGAGCATGGTAATTAGTCAGTTTAGTGCAAATGGTAGGCCATTTAGCAACCCTTTGTTGGTCACAGATGAGAGTTTTATTTATATAGAAAGATCAGGATTACATAGGATAGGTTGTTTATAGCTTCAAAATCTAATCAAAAATCCAACTATACACTCTAAAACTACCGTCCAACTAAAACTGAGCAGCTACTCCCTACCCTATGTACTATTTCCGGTGGCTTTCTCTAACACTTATTTCTTACCTTTCGATTTCTGCTTTCCAGTCAAAACTCAGCTTGTTCCTGTAGCTATTTGAAAATATTAAACTGTAAATTTATGAAGAAATCTTTGCAAGTATTCGCTTATTTATAAATCTCATGTCTCAAAGTTAGGCAAAATTCACTTCTTGGAACACTAACAGAAATGCACAAATGAGCGGTCTAAACACTTGCTGCGTCTAAGGTCTGATTTTAGTGAGGAAATTAAGGAGCTATCATAGTAGTGTTTTGAAGAAAAGCATATGGGAAATCTATAATACTCACTCTTTACAGCAAAGAGAGGTTACAATTCAGGTATTCCTTATTCATATTTTTGGCATCCCTCAGAAGGACTAATCAACAGGATATGAAAGTGAGTAAGGCTAGATATTACCTCATTTTCATCTCAAAATTCATAGGCTTGACATTCTGGTAGTTACTAGACTGCCTCTGGTCGATATATTTCTCTCGAATGAGTTTAGCCTGTGATCGTAAGGACTGCAGATTAATCCTCTCTTTCGGACTAGGCCTGAGGTTTAGTTTGCTTCTATACCCATGTTTAGCCATGGAATGTAGCTAACAGAACTCACCGTGACATTTTTCAATATTTATATAGAATTCGGGGTTTTGGGGTTTTGGGGTTTTGGGGTTTTGGGG